GGGTTAATCAGCCACTTTTGGCACTAGGTTTACGCAGCAGCAAATGCATTCGGACTGCGTTCATTTACACATCCCCACGCAGAACTCCGCAAACAGGTTCTGGTCTTTGGATGGTCGTCCGAGCAGCTCTCGATCAGATCAAACGCCTATCACGCCCCCCCCCTGTTGATTTCGATTAACTTTTATCCTGATGATTCCCAGGCAGATGTACACATGATTCCCGGAGTTATTGCCCCCTCGTGCGAGCCATTAGACGGCGGAGACGACCATACTTTTCCCCCCATCCCTACAATTTTCTCTACCCAGCCTTATAATTTCGCACAGTATGCGGCGCTGCGAACGTTTCAACAACGTATACAAAGAAATGTTTTGTTTTAAAAAATGCAGCAAGCCATGGACTCACTCAGTGAAATGAAAAAGATGAAGTGGACAGACCCATCACATGGACCAGCAACGCTAACAACCTAACTAAAAACATATGTTGCAAGATCACTTTTGCAGTGTTGCACTTTGCGTCCATCGACGAGTGGTTCGTCACCGCTGCCCAAGCTGTTATTTTGTTGCCCTGATCACCCGATCTCGTCACGTGTGCCTGCGGTGGGCGGGTGACGAAGTTCAACATTTTCCTGCTTCAGATCCAACAAAATTAGATCTCGAGTGGCAGGACGTCACGCCCAAACTTGACGTTTTTTTCGCGAAAACGTACGCAACAACCAACATTTATATCATCAAAAAAATTAAAAAGTAATCTCGCTCCCTCTTCAATAGTTTAAATTTTTTCCCTGACTTTTACCTGAAGTATACTGGCGGATATGTGCGTTCCGCTAGTGTAAATCACTTAGGTGAGATTTTATAAAAACGAATTTTTATGATCCAGCAAGAGTGACTAATCCTATTATTTCATTTCTCTCACGCGCCCCCGCCTCCAGCTCACTAAGACTTTGTTGGGTTTTTTTTTCGCCCCCTCTCTCCCTCCCTTCTCTTTCTCTGTTTCTCCCTCGCACACTGTTTCTCCTTTTTTTCGTGTGTGTGTGTGGGGGGGGGGGGCGGGGGTGCTGAAGGGAGAGGGCGTAGGCTGGCTGACCGTAATGGAAGCGATGTGGTCACCCACTCCCCTCCTCCTCCTCCTCCCCTCCTCCTCCCTTCCTCCCGTTACCCTCCCCTTCCCCTCCCCTCCCGGGACCATCCCGACTGCCAGCCAGCCAGCCATGGCAGCGCAGGGGCGGCTTGTCGGGGGGCGGCGGGGGCGGCCCGTGAGGACCAGTCCGACATCGCCTCGCCGCCCCCCTGCTCCAACTTGTTGCCGATGTAGCATGAATATGCATGCACTGACCTAAGTCATCGAAGGGGCCCTTGTTGGGGGCGGCGCCAAGATGGTGTCGAGGGGCGGGCGCTGCGGCCTCCAGCGTGAGGGCGAGCCGCAGAACGCAGAGGCGGAACAGCGTGGGCGGCGGCGCCATGCCTCCGCCGCCGCTCTTCCCCCGGCGCGCGCTGGCTGGAACGCCCCGGTCCGGACGAACGCCCCCCGCACCAGAACGCCTTTCACTTCCGGACGAACGCGCCTCTTATGCGCTCAGCCCGGCCGTCGCTGGCGAGTACGCCCTTGCTCTTCTGGACCAACGCACGCCGCGCCACTGCCGTTGGAAACCCGCCGCTGCTGGAGCGGTAGTGCCCGTTCAGGCGGAACACCATCGCTCAGGAGGCGGGGTCGGGTGGGGTGGGACGACCAGTTCGGAACGCCTTTCCGCCCAGAGCACCGCGTCGTCAGCCCGCACGTGCGCGACGAGGCCTCATTGAAAATCGGCGAGTCACCCTTTAATTCCCTTGGCGCTCGATCAGGTTGCCACCCCGGGGTGTTCGCAGGTGGCGTTCCTCTTCTACCACGCCACGCCACGCCACGCCACGCCACGCCACGCCACGCCACGCCACGCCACGCCACGCCACGCCACGCCACGCCACGCCA